CACGGAAGGAGGGAGGGGCCAGGCATCACTGTTACAGATCTTTTATACCAGCTGAGGGAGATGATCTCTGAGTTGGAGGCCAGCCTGGTCTAGCCAAGAAAGAGTAAGACCCTTTCTCCAAAAACAAGACAAAACAAAAAATTTTGAAAAGAAAGGAAAAATGGTCAGTTATGTTGCACACACCTTTAATCCCAAAATGGAGGAGGCAGAGGTAGGTGGACCTCTGAGCTGGAGTCAGTCAGGCCACACAGTGAGACCTTGTCTCCAACAACGGAAACCCAGAAGGCCTCTTGAATATTTGTACTTTGGAAACTACAGGGCAGAGGTGGGGACATGGCACAAAGAGCAGTCGGCTCTCGGCGGCGGCTGGAAGGTGGGACAGGCACACGCTCAACGCCACAGAGACCTTCCTGTGTTCCCCTGCAGAGCCAGGGCTTGGAAGGGCGGACCCACGCCCCTGCTGTGATCCAGTTTAAGAGAGAAGCAAGCACGTGACAAACAGCAGTCTGCTGCTTCCGACACACAATTGCCAGAGTTCAGGTCACAGAACTGGCTCGCTGGGGCCCGGCTGCCTGGGCTGCCTGCAGAAAGGCTCTCGGCAGCACACAGGAGGACAGCCCCTGCTGCCTCTCAGCCTGTTCCTGACTGTCCTCCATCACTGCTGTCTGATGTTCTGGAAGGCCCTGCAAAGCACTGAGAAATATGACCGTGGGACAGTGTCCTTGATCTAACAGGGCTACTCTCCACATTCCGGTACAGCTTTCCACTAGCAACCGCCAGAACACAGGCTCCTTGGCCCAGAGCTGAATCCCAGTGTGAGAAGGCACTGTCCAGAGTGTGTCCCTGCCTTCTATGACCTCCGGTTCACTCAAACAGCTCTCATCCTCACCAGTACTTGGACAATTGTCAGCCACCTTTGAGCTGAGGCCAATCACCCTGACAAGAGCAAGGAGGCAGCTTTGAGAGCCTTTGGAGTGGGCCACATCCACCTCCCCTGCTCCCTCAGAGGCTCTCCCAGGGACAGGGCGCGCTGTGGGATGTGGCTAGGGCACCCAGGACTCAGGACTGCTCACAGCAGCTAAGGAAGGATGCCAGGGTGAGCTGTTCCCAACACTGACAGAATGCTGCTGACATCACCCAGAGACCTTTGTACTTCGTCCTCCCAACTTTAGCTCTGCTACAGAGGCAGCAGGAAACCCCCTAGAGACCTGCATGGGCTCCCGGGATCATCTTGCTCTTCTTTGGCCCATCACCCTGGGCAATTCCAACCTATTGCCAGCTCAAGAGATCCAAACAGCAGCCCGGGAGGCGAAACCCCCACCCACATACTGAAGACGGTACCTGGAAGGCTACAAGCACTTCCCTACTCTGAGTCCTTTCCTACTCTACTGCCCCACATGGCTTGCTTGGCCTTAGAGTTAAAATGCAAGGAAGTCACTGCTCTAAATCCTCAGCAAATGGAACGCTGTGAAAACAACAAGCCTGTATTCTGAAGTCAAATAAAACTATTTAGGATTACCTATGCTTTCCTTATTTATTGATTTAGTGTGCACATGACTCAGTATGATGTCTATGTACACACGTGCAGATGTCCTAGGAGCACAGAATAGGGTGTTGGATTCCTTGGACCTGGAGTGGCGGGTGGGTGTGAACTCCTGACAGGAGGCCCCCTTACCTATGCCTTTAATGCCTCTTTAAAAAAGTCACATGGTGTACAGGGGAGGTCAGAGAACAAGGTGGAAGGTGGTTCTACCCTTCCATCGTATGGGTGCTGGGGATGAAGATCACTTGCCAGGCTTGGCACCAAGTACGTTTAACCACTGTCTCATCACTAGACAGATGTTCACCAGTATCCATTTCAGTTCATACCAATACACGTATATGTGGGTATGTGTTAAATTTGTTTATTTTTATATGCGTGGGTGTTTCCCAAGTGTACACCATGCCTGTAGAGGCCACAAGAGGGAGATGACCTGGGACCGAAGTTAAAGATGACTGTGAGCCGCTATGTGGATGCTGAGAATTGACCTGGTCCTCTGGAAGAGCAGCCAGTGCTCTCAACCCGAGCCACCTCTCTCCTAGGACCAAATACTTCAAAGCCATTTGCGATTGAACCTGGCCCCACCTCAGCTCTTAAAGCTTTCCAGGACATGGTTTCCACGCTGTGTGTCCATTTCCAAGCCTCACCTGACCTCTGCAAATCCCTCTCCTTCCCGTTTGCTAATTCCTACCAGGTACACTTGCTTTCCTGCTGTAAACGACAGCTGACTGTTCTGATAAGCGAGTCTAACCTGACTCTGACCGCTCTCCCCTGGCTGTGTGAGCAGCTAGTCTTCCTTGCTGAGCTCGTGGTCAGCAGTGTGGCGGAGGCCACAGTTCCTCAGCTCCAAGTGTGCTTGAGGAGAACTGTTTTCGCCTTGCCAGGAGATGGGGTCAACAATCTAACTGGACACAGAGAACTTGGGCAGATGCTTCGTAGGGTCATGACAACAGAGGCCCAGTTCTCTTGAAGACCCAAGTTTCCATTATTAATTCACTCTGTCCACGTATTCCTGGATATAATCTCTAGTGGGAAGCTATGTTTTTAATAAATGTATTTATTTAGTGTGTGTATGGCATGGCACATATGTGGAAGTCAGAGTACAACATGAATTTTCTCCTTGCACTACTTGGGTCTTGGGTTTATCAGCACCTTCACTCACTGGGTCATCTCACTACCTGAGAAATTACTTTTATTTGTACTAAAAAAAAAAAAAAAAAAAAAAAAAAAAGATGTAAAAATGTATGTCTAAGCTAGGTGGGGTAGCTCACATCTGTAATCCCAGCACTTGAGAGGCAGAGGCAGGTGGATCTCTGCGAGTTTCAAGGCCAAGCTGGTCCACAGAGTGACTGCGAGAACAGCCTGTTTTGAAAACCAACAGACTGTGTGTATGGGCGTTTAGGGCACACGTATGCATGTGTGCCATGTGTATGCCTGGTGCCTGCGGAGGTCAGAAGAGGTCAGAAGAGGGGGCTGGGTCAGCTACAAGAGCAGCCAGTGCTCTTAATGACTGAGCCATCTCCCCAGCCCTGAGAAGTCACTTCTAAATGACTGAGGGGGGAGTAAAATAGTATAAATCAGTCAACTGAAAGCTTCCAATGGCCTCTCCATTGTCCAGCACTTCCAAAAGCAGCAGAGTCTAGCAAGACCTTAGGCTGGCAGGAGGCTCAGCCCTCCACCTGTCTTGGGAACGTGTGGACAACTACTGGAACTAGTTAAGAAACATCAGTTCCTGAAGGAGATGCCCACAGCTAGAAAGAACTCTAGTTCCTTGGCCAGGAATACCTCGGACAGCAACCACACTCAGCACACGGCCCAGCTGTGGAAAGCAGCTCTGAAAACGATAGAGTACACAAGCTGCCGCCGCCAACTTTCATCTTCCCACTGACCTCAGCTGCATCACTGTAACACAGCATGCTTGGCCAGGGCTGCTGCTCTACCTGCCCTAACAGGCAGGCTCTGGAGGGGTCTAGTTTAAAAGGGGGGGAAATCATCAAAGAGAGCTTTAAAGAAAATAGTCTGGGTTTAGGATACAGCTGGAGCTCAGTTGGTAGGGAACTCGCCTGGTGTGAATGAGGCTGTGTTCCAACCTCAGCACAGCACGAATGAGGCACAGTGGCTGCCCGTGAGCTCAGCCTTTGTGGACATGAGAAAACAAGTACAGGGCCATCCTCCTCAGCTATCTAGCAAATCTAGGCTATGAGACCCTGTCCCAAAAAGAAAAAGAAAGTTTGTCTGAATATTAAGATGTGGAGTCTTGGCTGTGCTGAACCAGGCCTGTGACCCCAAACCTTGTGAAGCACAAAAAAGATCCTGACTCAAAACACAAACAGAAAGTGGACTCTTTCCTTAATGCAGGCAAGTCACTGGTGGCCGACTCTCTTACACCCCAAACGGCTAACACAGCTGCACAAGTCTCTGCAAGGACCACCCTATTCCCCAACAAATCAACTCTGCACCCTCCCGAGAGAATAGGGCTAGCTCTTGAGAGACTGACCACAAAGTGTGTGCTCACAGTAGACTGCGCTGACCTCAGCATCTTAAACTCTGAGGCCAAGTGACAGAGTGCAGCCCAAGGGCACCCGGGACGGTTGTGCACACAGGAGGCTGCGGGGCTTGAGGATCTAGCAGTTTGGGGAGGAGAGTACATACAGGGCAGAGCCATGACACTAACCCGAGCGGTGGGCTCAGACCCAAACCTGCAGCCAGGAGCCATCTTTACCTGAACAGTGTGGGGGCTGCTGGGCTGGCTAGCACAGAGAAACAGCAACCTAGAAAAGTGTCTGCACAACCACAACACTCTTCTCTCCCCCACATGTGCAAAGCCACACTAGCACTCTGAGCCACTCTGGGTTTCAGGGGAGGAAGCCACTGAGCCAAAGCAAACTGAGAAGACATCAACACGAGGATTGTGACAGAATAAATAGTCAAAGCCAACAACATTCTAGGATAAAATAATCAAGCTTGGCTTTTTACTTGGGAAAACCCGCCTAAACCAAGATAACACAGCAGGAGCCTTGCAGACAGTGCCGCGATGGCACTAAGCTCAACACACAGCTGCCCTGAAGCATGGCTAATGACAGCTTTGAAAATATCAAGCTTAAGAGCCCCGGTTTTCAACACCCAGATCAGAGCAGAGACAGAAGTAAGTCACACACATGGATGAAGCAGTAGCCACGGACACACAGGACGGAGAAGGCTTTTGTGTCGATGCTATTGACAGGAGAGCTGAGCAGTCTCAAAGAGCCACGCCTGCTCCGGGCAGTGGTGGTCTAGCATTCCAGCTTTGCCACGAAGGAGCATCAGGAGTCCCAACGCCCACCACCTGCCCCTTCTCCGAGGGCACCTACCTTACTGTAAGTCACTACTGATAAGTTGTTTGCGTGGCTGCTGGGGGACAGATTTACAGAGTTCTGTGACAGTCTATCCTGATCTTGCTCGGTTTGGTCAGGAGCAGGAGCCCATGTATTTTTGCTGATCGAGTCGAACCCGGAACCCCCAGGGTCTTTTAAGTTGTTTTCATCTGATTGTCGGTTCTTTTGGGGAGAGGCAAACGGGTTGAAGTTTCCTTCTACCTTGCGATGTGGCTGTGTGTTGAATTCCGTTTCAAAAGATGACAGCTGCTGCGTTACTCCTAAAAGTCCACCCACCTCCACACTGAGAATCACCCAGATGACATCTGAAACAAAAAGGCAGCTCGTATCAATGCCAGGTATACCCTTGGCCCAGGGTAATCACCACCGAAAACCCAAATACTATGCAAACCACTGAGAAGACACTCTCTCCACAGCCAGCTTCCTGGAAGCTAATGAGACCTGTGCATGGCACATGCTTCTCTGCCTTCAATATGCCAAGGCAAGCTCCGGTGCAGCTCTGCAGTGGAACCCACCACACTGCAGGGAAGGCTTCCTAGCTGATGGCGGTACCTGGAAACCATTACCCAGAGAACGCGCACAACTGGCAAGCCCCAGTGGACAGAATGAACTGCTCTTTGTGGCATCATTTCACTTTGTATGTGCTAAATTCTGAAAATTCCGGGAAGGGAGAATTCTTAAAGATAAAACTGCTCACCACTTGTTATGACTAGAATCACAACGTACTTAACCCTTTCCCCACTCAGGAATCAATTGAGAATGACCATATGCTGTTCACAAAGAGAAGCCACGGCAAAAGGCATTATAAGTAATAAGGATGTATGCGTAACGTGCACTGACCAAACACACATGCTTTCTAGCAAGTACACTGAAGGTGCAGAACAGCCTGGACCTTCTAAGAGAACCAGACCTTCACCAGCTCTGTCCAGGGAGACCTGACTACATGGAACCATGACATTTATCTATTTTGGCTTTGTGTGTATGAATGTTTTGTTTTTGTATTATTTGTCTGTGCACCACAGGTGTGCAGTGCACACAGAGGGCAGATGGGGGTGTTGGGTTCCCTGAAACTGGGTTGTAGATAGTCGTGTGCTGTGGGTGCTGGGAACCCAACTTGGTTCCTCTTCAAGAGCAGCCATTGCTTTTCACTGCTATCTGCCATCTCTAGTCCTTAAGCTCTTTTTAAAAAAGGATGTACAGGCCAGGCACAGTGGTGGCCATCTTTAATCACAAACCAGCCAGGACTATACAGTGAAACTCTTTCCCTAAACAGATCAATGCTGTAAAGACACCTGGTCATAACTTTATCTCCAATTTTTTTTATTGTCAAACCTAGAGCTCAAATATAACGTAAAGAAGCTGTTCCCTTCGATGCTGAAAGCAAGTGTGAAAAGCTACTGGAAGGTAAGGAGAGGCTACCCAGGCTAACGGGTCGGCTGTGCAGGCAGAAGGCAATGAGAAGGGGCAGAGAGGAGCTGAGGCCCATGCAGAGTTGCACTAGGTTCCCAGGAGGAGAGCATCTTACAGCACTGCACTCCATACACACTTAGTTCAGTGGTTTAGGAGCTGTACGGAGACCTGGCCATCCAGGAGCTGGGCAGAGGAGCAGAGCTGCAGCGACACCTGCTGATCATGACTGGAATTAGCAACTCTTTTCCTCTGGAGAACAAGCAACAGCCATCAACCAAGCACACTAGCAAGATTCCAGTTTACAGTACTCCAGCATTCCAGGCACATAAATTAACTGCATGCCAAATGCTTTTAATTCCAGCACTTGGGAGGCAGACACAGGTAGGTCTCTGGGAGTTTGAGGCCAGCAAACCTAGTGAGCCCCAGGAAAGCCAGAGAGACCCTGTCTCAAAACAAAACAAAACAACAAAACAAAACAAAACTATATGTCCTCATGCCAGATAAACTGTGTTTCCAAGATGGGGGTCTCACTATGTCTCCTGAATGGGCTCAAATTCACAGCAATTCTTCCACCTTAGTCTCCTGAGGAAGCTGAGCCACTGTGTTCAGTTCAGACATCTTAGATGGTACTTTATTAGGTCAGAAGACTTGAATTCTACACTGGGTAGCTGGCAGCAGGCCTTGAGGGAGTCACCCACACCTTCCTATGCTGGCTTTCTAGCTAGTGAACATGTCGTGTGTGTGTGTGTGTGTGTGTGTGTGTGTGTGTGT